TGCTGAATATGGTAAGGTTTCATATAAAACTTTGAGGTCACCAAATGTTTCAGAAGTCCTATGGTTACGCTGTAGGTATGAGGTATGTGTATGTTGGAGTATGTCATAAGGTTCTGTGCAAGGCTATAATGTTTCGTTGAAAATATGAAGACTAAAACGTTACTGATAAATCTATAAGGTTTCCTGTAAAGTTCCTTGTAATTCAATAAGGTTTCCTGTAAAGTTCCTTGTAATTCTATAACGTTTCCTGTAATTCTATAAGGTTCCTGTAAGTCTATAAGGTTTCCTGTAAGTCAGTAAAGTTTCCTATAAGTCTGTAAGGTTTCCTGTAAGTCAGTAAAGTTTCCTGTAAGTCTGTAAGGTTTCCTGTAAGTCAGTAAAGTTTCCTGTAAGTCTGTAAGGTTTCCTGTAAGTCAGTAAAGTTTCCTGTAAGTCTGTAAGGTTTCCTGTAAGTCAGTAAAGTTTCCTGTAAGTCTGTAAGGTTTCCTGTAAGTCAGTAAAGTTTCCTGTAAGTCTGTAAGGTTTCCTGTAAGTCAGTAAAGTTTCCTGTAAGTCTGTAAGGTTTCCTGTAAGTCTGTAAGGTTTCCTGTAAGTCTGTAAGGTTTCCTGTAAGTCAGTAAAGTTTCCAGTAAGTCTGTAAGGTTTCCTATAAGTCAGTTAAGTTTCCAGTAAGTCTATAATGCTCCATGGATGCATATGAGTCTTCCTGTAACTCTATAAGGTTTCCTTTATGTATATAAGGTTCCCAATAAATCTGTTAGTTTATTACAAAAACATTCCATATAAGACAGTAAGATTGTATTTTATCCCTCAAGTTCCCGATTGGATCTGTGATATTCTACTGAATACTAACTGTGGCTTTATCAATACTTAATCTATTATATGTACTGATTTATACATACAAAAATCACTTAGTGGCAATTCAATATATGTTTACACAGATCAAATGATAGTGTTGATTTAGTGTGCTGTTCTTGGGGACTTAGAATGTGCTTTATACTTTGATTTACTAATAGCCAATAGCTTTAATGACAATTGAGATAAAAATAGCAAAATTCTGATTAAATTTGAGCCAAAATGATATTTGGTTAATGTCTGAAGCATTTATATTATTTAAATCCCCAACAGAACATGTAGAAGTGATTTCCTTAAAAGCTAAAACATTTCAGTAATATTAAGAACTGTGAAGATACCGGGAGTTTTTTTTTTCATATTGAAAATGTTACAAAAAAAATTGTGTGGTAACTTTTCTTAAGCATTATATATTTTTTCATATCTTTTCTTATTTGAGATGTAAAGTAAAACAAACACATGCAATATAAGAGAAATAAAACTGTTTTCTGTTATTGATAACATTGATGGATGCTCTAGTGCTTTCAAAACAGCGGGATGGAGAACGAATTAATTATCTAATCAAATGCAATGTCTTTAAATTCTGTTAAATACGAAGCTATCTATCAGCAACAAGCATCTTGTATCCTCCTGGTGGAGGTCATACATCACTTTGAATAGCGTTACTAGTTGTTTACATGTGCACACGCACATTTCCCTGCAATTTATGTTTCTTTGATTGACAGCTAGAGTTTTAGAATCTTCATCGTACAACATGCACGGCTCTGGGACCTCTTACAATATGTTAGATATTTTTATATAATTTGGTAGAGTAATGAAAATATCACATCATAGGAGAGATATCAATGTAAAACAAGAATATCTTGTGTAAATACTGATTTACAGCCAGCAAGTTCTTTTTTATTCAAAAAGTATTAATTAGATTTTTATATTTAAGGTATTGTCCACATCAGGTAACTTACATCTAAGGTAAGATGTACTCGAATGCCTGTAGTTAAAAGTTCACAAGAAGTAACCTTTGATTAACAAATTAGATTCTGATACCCATTTGTTCCTGTTTATGTAAATTATTAATCAAATTTATTAGATAAGCAGATGATAGTCAAACAGAAGATAATTTTAAAATGAGAAAAGTTCTCTGTTTCAAAAGCGTTGCTATCTAATACAATGTGTGACTTTCAATGTGATGAAAGAAGACATTTGTGTCCCCTTTGAGTGTTTGAATTGCTTTATTACTGTCTGCAATGCTCACACCACATTGGCTGGGGAACAGATGAGGATGAAATATGGAGTGGATAATTAACAAGTTATCTCCCTTGATGAATTATCATGGGAATGGTATTGTGTAGTTTATCATGTAATAATTATAGTGAGAACTCATCAAGTCCCTTGTAGGGACAGGAAGGTTGTAATTTAAGGAAACCATAAAATCTGAGAATATGGAGGAAGATGTTGATCTGAGTTCAATAGAGAAATGCACATGCTTGCCAAATAAATATATACACAGTTTACTGAAGGCTATTGAATTTTTTATATATGTATGACAAAACCCATCCTCCTTAGGGAGCTTGTAATAAGGTCTGGTAAGATAGATGTGTTTTATAGGCTATGTATATAGACAGTGGTCGTAGATATCCTCTGGTCTTGAGAGTCTGCCCATCATCGAAAATCAGACATTTCTCCATTAAATAGAGGAAGGTGGATTGTGTTTGTTAGCACATGTGCAAGATCATTACTTTGTAATGAGAACTTAAAATGCATTAGCATGCCTGTGACCACTTATCATGCATTTTCTCAATATGACAGCCTCTTGGTAGCTAATGAATCATTATATATATATTTTAGAGGATGTTCTGTGGTAGCTTGTTATTGTGTTTGCCTTATATTTTAGCTTAAGCCTGAATTTTTTAACCCAACATCATATCAGATGGTAGGCTATCATCCGTGATCCATGTTTGGTGATCTGTGATCTGTCCCTCTGTCTGTCTGTAAACACTGTTAACACTATTTCACTAGTACAGGATGGACCTTTTATTTAAGTTTTGTATGAAGGTTCCTTGGTCCCAAGTTGTGCCCATTTGAATTTCGGACTTAGAAAATGGAAAAAGACTGAAAAAGTTCCATCCTTTTGAAAAACACCAAAGATCAAACAATGGTGGACACCAAGATCCCTTTAGGATAATTTCAGATTATGGACAATTACATAAAAAAAAAGAAAAACAATTATACTTTTCATAAATTGACACACCTTTGGAGAAAGACCCCATTTTGAAGTCATCCTTCTCTGTTACATAATGCTGAAGTTATATTTGATATAAAGAGCTAGTTAGAAAATGTGCAGAAAGATAGGTAAAGGTCAATGTATAGTATTGTACGCTCTCTGTTACTTTGTTAGTGGACCTTGTTATGTCCTGTAGGTAATGGATTATCGTAGTTGAGACCTGGGTCCCATTCCTTTTTGGGTACTCCGTAAGAATGAGTTTTACCCTGTTTCTTTATATTAGTGAATATCGATATCCAAGGTGTTGTGGTAAACAGTTTGTGTAGAGTTGGGGAAATCTCCAGAAGAACAAGTCAGTTTGTAGTGTAAATGGAATGGATCGACATGGCTTGTATATAAGTAGCATTAAACACTTTTTCTCTGTCATTCAGCTGACAGAGTATATTTCTTTAGCTCAGTTGGTAGAACTTTGGCTGATCAATTTTCAATTGATTTTTCACTTTGGATTTATATTCTATAAGGCATAACAAGTCTGAGAAAAAAATTAGATAAGTAAATTACTATTTACATCTGTATGAGGAATAAATAAATCCAAAACAATGCAGACACTGACTTGACAATACATCACTGACAGAACAAACTTACAAAGTTCAGGGTCAAAATTCATCACTAGACAATACCAGACACAGCACTGATCATGATGGACCAATCACCCCAAGGTTTAGGTCATTAGTCATCAGTAGAAAATACCCCATTTATACTAATCATGACAAGACAGTCACCCCAATGTCAAAATAAAAAAATAACTGAAGACAATTCCCCACATAGCACTGGTCATAAAAGGACAAACCACTCAAGGTCAATATTCATCAGTAGACAATACCACATTTGTACTGACCATCTCAAGGTCAAGGTCAGAACTTAACAGTAGACTGATCATGATGGGACAGCCACCTCAATGTCAAGGTAAGAAAATTAGCTGTTGACAATATCCCACATAGCTCTAATCATTAAAGGGCAATCACTAAGTTCAAGGTTAGATGTTCATCATTAAATTATGCTCATTATGAAGTATCAAGATCAGATTTTTTTCATTGGTAAAGACTGTGTAACAGGTTGTTAATGAAATTATCACCTGACATTTCAAGTATCTAGGCATTTGCTTTTTATGGGCATGGTATTTGAACCGGACATTTATGGACAGCCTTTGAGACACACTAGATTGCAGCTATATCATGATTAGTAGCTTACAGCACTGTTTAGTCTTAGGTAAGATTCATATTACTCTAGTTGTCATTAAGAAAGATTAGAAACATCAAGTACTTGTTGAGTTTTGGCTGTAATAGATTAGGGATAATTAGTATAAAGCAATTCAATTAATATCATTGGAATTTTATCTGGGAAAGGTTAATCCTGTACTTTAGTCTCAGACACTGCTCATGGCTGATGAGAAAAGCTGTCACAACACCCACTTATTGATATTTAACCAACATGTTTTGAATCTGATAGATTGGGTCTGTGGGATGTCCCTCAGTGTGTTGTTGATTAGCATAGTCTTGGGATAATGAGGCGGTTGACACATCAGGTTTATGACCCTTCCTACCCAATTACTGTCCCAAACATTCCTCCTATTCCTTGTATACTGGCAGCCTTCACTGTAGGTCAAGTGGACAGTAATGATCTTCATTAAGAGGCAGGTTCTAATTATTAACTTATGTGATGATACAGCATATCACATAGTGAGTATGTCTCGTTATTTGATCCACTGAAATATTAACAAAATCTTACAAAGACGTCACATCACTGTGACATTTCTTTCACACTATTTTCATTTATAAATACTTTGTATATAGTTCAGAAACAATAGCCTTTATATCTTGTTAAGAAAGTGTTTACATATTAAAATGGAAATGTTGCATTTACTTACATATTAAAGAGTTCTAAACTGATCCATTCAGCATGGTCTGTTTTTCATCTGTTCCATTGTAGTGATTGCCCTGTCAGTCCAGGACCTTAGCTGCTCTGACGTCTGTTAAATGTCCACTGATGTGGAACTGTACATGTGTCGTTAACTCTTTCATCAGCTGCTCAGTTGTAACACCTGGTCATGCGCTCAACTCAATTATTGATGTATCAAACTGCAAAATATCTGCATGTAGCAGCGACGGCTATATTTCTCCTATTCCAGCGGTCTCTCATTCACCGTTGACGTCTAAAAATCATATTGCTTGTCAAGTTTGACTGTATTTGACTGGTGGATGACAAAACGGTAGCATTCAATATTGTCTGTATTTGAAGGGTTAATTATTTATCTGAACCTGGCAGGCATTGGATACTCTGTTTGCCATTAGAACTTGAGAGTCTCCATTGATTCAGGCAATGGCTCATCGTAGATGTGAGGTTGTTCTCTTTAGCATCCAAGACATCAAAACTATCAAACAGTAGTAAATGGCCAATATTTGTGTAATCTGTTATCTCAAAAGAAAGTATTGTTGCTGCACATGTCCATGCTAAGTATGATTGTTCGTGGATGAGGTTGTTGATGAAGAGGTCTATTCATGCTTGACTTTTGACCTGTATCACATGGTGGATGACAGCGCCTTCATGTAGCATTGTCAGTTTAGTTATTGGGATACCATAACCCTGTCAACCAGACACAATGTGATAGCTGGTATTAATTTATCATCAGCTGGAGTTATGTTGAGGAACAGAACATGATGGCAGAAGTTGATTGCACTGTGTTATCTCTGATATCTTGGATTAGATGGATTCGTGCCCTCACCCAGTTTTATGCCAGAGTATGAACACCCAACACCATTTCTGCGTATTCCAACTCAACCATCTTCTCTAGAACAGGAGTGAGACCAGACCCTTTGGTTGTCTGTCTGATGGGCACACTATAGAACCTGCCTTCAAACTTTAACTGCTGTCCCAGGAGTTCATTCTGTTAAAGGAGGAAATAGCTTTATTGCTCTGATTTCAGATTTGAAATTTTGCCATCGACTGTCTACATGTTGAATGTATCAGGATTTTTATTTTTCAACACATTCATCTTTATGCAGAGTGAACATTACAGAAATCACCAACCTTTTTACAGAATTGTTGAATTCATGTTCAGACCAAATGCAGCTGGTTAATTAATTTGTTTCTACCTCCATTTGGTACAGTCTTGTGACAGATGTATTAAGGACCAACAAAACTCTACAAACTGGCCAGGAGACCGGTCAGTGGATTACTTTTTCTTCGCTAGTTTTATGTGATTTCTGTTATTGATAATTCTGGTTGACTGATTGAATGGTACGAGCCAGTCTTCAAGCAGGTGTTGGTTGGTCCCGTGGAGGTTGCGGATTTTTTTGCCTTTTTTTTTGTAAATAACATTTTGACACCAAATTAAAGCTAGAAGAGAAATTATTGGATACAACCATATGTGGCTATCCTCTAGGGCAGATCTGTGTTAATGTAGCTCGCCATATAGATAGGCCTAATTCATTGGTGTCGAGAAAAGCTATTGTCTTCTCACGCATGGTTTATGACAGGGAGAACAAACTGTGGTAGACATTGATGTTGATACTGTGAGTTCACTTTTTGTGTGGAAGCTACTTCGTAGACATTGGTTTTATCCTCAAAGCATCAGTTTGTTGTTAACAAGGGAAGCAGAAGGATGATATACCATTTGTGAATGTTCAGTGCTTGTCCATTTGGCAATTAAGTCATTGCTTGCTTAGTTGCAAGCAATTCATGTGAAGTGAAATTTAAGGAGAAATATTTGAGGAAAAATATGTGTTTATAATTTGTGCTCTACAAGAATAATTTTAGATCTTTAAAGCAAATATTTGTTAAAAGTTCTTGTAAGAAGCATTTCTGTCAGACTTAAATCAATCAGTGATATAACTTACTGAAATTGCAGTCAAAAAAACGTTTATATGTTGCCTATATAACCTGATGTTATATGAAGTCTGTATAGACCTGTACTGTGCATATGCACATTCCCCACGCACCTGATCAGTGTTCTCCAGAGCAGATGTATACAAACGGATGAAACCTGTTGTTAATGGTATTGATCCATGAAAATGGTTGTGAAAAATGAGCTCGAGGAATATGAAGAAGAATCCACGTCCATTATTCGATGTGTAAGTATCTCTTGACCATCTTTGTGTCCACTGTCTATCCAGTTCCAAGTCCGGCGAAGTGATAATTAGAAACCTCTTAGGCTTTGTGCTTACTGAATTTCTGTCCACAATTTGTGGACAATTAAATCAACCTATTTTCAATGAAGTTATGCTGGATTATACTGATTCCGTGGGAAGAGATTAGAGAAGGAAATCATTTGGAGTGAGAAGGATTGGTCAGAGAGGTAGGATAGAGAAGGAATCAGAACATATAATTAAGAGAGTTAGAGATAGGGTGATTGAAAGGTGCTCCAAATAGCCTGAAGTAAATCAAGGAAAGCACTTCTTACAGAACAATTTTAACAGGGTTTATATTGAAATGTTAGTGAAAAGGAAGGAAAGGGTTGTATGGAAGGGAGTTTAGGCTAGTAACAGATGTTCAACAGATATTGAGTGAGTATTGTGATAGTTGCAGAGATTAAATATCAAGTTGGGGGTGGGGGCTTGGATGTCTAAGGTAATGTACTCATATATGTATGTTCACTCGATTATATGTTTGTAAAACTATCAACATGTGTATTATATGTGTATGTTATGGGCTAGCTAACAAAGATCTGTTGAATGTTTGAAGTCTATCATAACTATAGGTGTAGGTTGAGCTTTGTAAGGCATTGTTCATTTGTACCTTTGATGAGATCCTTTATGTTAAATACAATAGAAGATAATGCAGAGTGGAGGATTTATATTTCTAGGCTAAATATGAATTGTAATGAAAATGGGAAAATATTCTAAAAAATAACCTCTATGTATCCATGGAAACTTTAACCTTGAAACAATGAATAGTGGCCACACTAAAAATTATTCTGTACACTTTGGTGTGACATGATAAATAGCCTGATACAATTTAGAGTTTCCTTGAGAGAACTTTTAAATAGGTTTATTCTATACAATTGCTTATTTTGATCATTTATGGTGTTGGCATAAGGATAGGTGTTTAGCTTGTTGATCATGTGTAAGTATTCACTGAACTTGCGTTCTTTAGTCTACAGCTGTTACCAACATTAAGTCTTTTCTGAAACAAAAACACACACCTATCCACTCCAAACCACCATCAGAAAACTTCATTGATATATGTATAAGAACTATTTTAATTAAGAAATTTGATTCTTGGGATGAAACAGAGTTCTGATATACAGCCAAAATTGTAAAATCCATTCAGTGAATAATAATGACACACAGGATTAGGTAGAGCGTATGTCATTCAAGAGAATGTTTTTGGCACAAAAGTAGAAATGTTTACATAAAGCAGATTCATCTTTTGATTCGGTGTCCTGATTTAGGGTCGATTGCGGACATGAGATATTCATGCGTCTTTATTGCTGTGAGGGTTAGAGGTAGGCTGAAGATCTGTGGGAGGCCATCCTGTAGTGTTAACTAGTTAAACAAATTAGTTTGTATGGCTGCCAAGGGACTGAACACGATATCAATTATATTATAAAAGAAAATATATACGTATAATACTAAAAAGTTCCTCATGTCTGCATCATCTAACAGATAATAAAGACAAATCTTATTTATGCTGAAACAGTTTCGAAACATGGTTTCTCTGTATCTGTTATTTCATTGGTCTTTGCTTTAATGTTGTTGTTTGGTTTAGAGTAATCGTTAAGGAACTTCCAGAAGTGTTGTTCTATGAATGAAGTGTTATTGTAGATTGTTTCATCAGAGGAGAAAATTTCAGTTATCTCTTACAGTCTAACTGGAACAACCCATTAAATATTCTCCTCATACATGTAAGGATTTCCGGTTTGTCAACCAAGTTTGTTAGATATACTGTAATGATTTGTCCTTTGAAGAAGAATGAGCATGTTACGGGTGCTCTGGTTATTCAACATAGAACTTTACAACATTACATTATTATGATGTCGAATCCGCTTAAGAGGCATTTGTATTCCAAATATGAAGGTCATAATTGATGAAAAAGTTAACTTTTCGTCATAATAGCTTAGGTATTTATTGACTAATTTAGACCCAGTATCCATTATTTTTAACAATGAAATCTTCAATGGCTACCTGTGCAGAAATATGAGTTTATTGTTTAGTTTGAAACATATATGTTACAACTGTAGAAGACAATATCCAGCATCATTAATAAGGCATAGAAGCCAGACTGTTATTATAAAGACATGTTTGTTGTCATGAAAATGTATGTATGTTGTCATAGAGACATCATACTGTTGTCATAGAAATATCTGTCTAATGACATGGAAATGTGTCCATCCATTTTAATAGATACTTTATAGACTGTTGTTATGGAAATTAGTGAGTCTTTTGTCATTGAAACAGGTGTCGTTTTGTTGTAAAAACATATAAGACTGTTGTCATATAAATGTGTCCATCTGTTGTCATAAAGATATCGTTGGAGTGTTATCATGTGAGACTGTTGTCATAGAGATACATTAGAATGTTTTCATATAGAGACATGGCAGTCTGTTTGGTATACGAATCATGCAATCAGCCTCGCTTCACAAATTTCAGCCATTCCTTGTTTAATACTATTCTAAGATGAAATATAGATTATTGTAAATAGCATTGGACTTACACATTAGTGAGGGATACATGGTATGATATCATCCTTAATGTGAATGTAACCTTGTTATATGCTTTACACTCTGCATAGGGGATATACAGTCTAGCTTAATTTGTGTCTTGATAAATGCTGAGATTGCCTGGAACATTTAAAAGCTTCTGTGTTACTTCTCTGTTTATATATATGTAGGTAACATCTTATATAGGTTTAGAATATATATAGGTATAGATCATGTATTTGTTCATAATTCTTTAATCACTACAACTCATAATGATTATCTTGCATCACAGTGGCACCCGTAAAATTCCTCTGAAGAATATCATATTGAGACACTTGTATAAGAAAAGGAAAGCAAGAAATATCCATTTAAATGATATATAATTATCATTAATTAATATTTTTCATCTGCAGTGACATTGAGAATTGACATATTGAAAAAAAGTGAATTAACCATCAAACAACGCGGCTGTAAACTTGATAGGAATAATGGCTGAATGATTATTATTGTGGCATTTGTGGTGACATACAAATGTATTGGACTGCTTAAAATTATAAAATAGAGTGATTAGGAAATGAAACTACTGTGCTATAGAATGTTGTGGAAATGTCATCAATATCCGCAGGAGGATAAAGTTTCTTGTTACCGCCAGTGTATTGTGATATAGAAACTAAGAGCAGAAATTATTGTTCAACAGCTCTTTGAATAGGACAGCTCTTTGAATAGGACATTGTCAGGGAGTGGAGACAGTTGTGTGTCAAAGATATATATAGGTCAGGCGTGAGATAATTTCAGGATCAAAGATCAGGATGGGTATCTATAATAGATACAGGGTCATATATATATATATAGGTCAGGCGTGAGATAATTTGAGGATCAAAGATCAGGATGGGTATCTATCATAGATACAGGGTCATATATATATATATATAGGTCAGGCATGAGATAATTTCAGGATCAAAGATCAGGATGGGTATCTATCATAGATACAGGGTCATATATATATAGGTCAAGAAATCAAGATCTTTTTTATCTATAAATCTGTATCGTCCTTAAATATTGTTGTCTGGATATTTTGATATTAGCGTGTGTGCTTTTTTTTTCTGTGTGTGATTTTCTGACAGTGTTATTGTTTCAGTTTTTCTTTGTCTTTTAGTCTTAAGTATTTTTAGTGTTTGCTTAATTATGTAACTTTTTTGTCTAAGTTTATGAAATTTTGAAAGTGTTATGTGTAAGAATATCTGCATAGTATTTTCATTTCAAGCTCAAAAGGGTTAGCCTCTCTAAAACGAAAATTTATGACCCTTTAGTACTACCTTAATGCATTTAATGATAATTCATTAAGGAATATACATGTGTTACAGTGAATATTGGTTTGTGTCAAACAGAATCAATAAAACATCACATCAGTGATCTATTGAAATTGCTTCTCTCAAAACCTCAAGAAAATGTTATCAGGGAAACAAAGTTTTATGCTAATTTGCTGGAAGTCAAGCTCAGAAGTCAATACTTCCACTATTTTAGAGTATTGACTAGCCATAGCCTATGTACCTATAGCTAGTTAGCCTGACCCAACTCTTTCATCTGTCCTAGAGTAATGACGAGTGTTAACCTCTGTAAATTGTTAGTGTGACCCAAGTTGCTGCCTGTGTCCTGTTGTATCTGATTAGTCTGACCCAACTGACTGCATATGTCCTACTTGTACTGTATTAGTCTGACCCAACTGACTGTATATGCCCTGTTTGTACCCTATTAGTCTGACCCAACTGACTGTCTATGTCCTATTATTCTGACCCAACTGACTGTCTATGTCCTATTTGTACTGTGTTATTCTGACCCCAACTCGCTGCCTGTGTCCTATTTGTACCCTATTATTCTGACCCAACTGACTGTATAAGTCACATTTGTACTGTATTAGTATGACCCAACTGACTGTATAAGTCACATTTGTACTGTATTAGTATGACCCAACTGACTGTATAAGTCACATTTGTACTGTATTAGTATGACCCAACTGACTGTATAAGTCACATTTGTACTGTATTAGTATGACCCAACTGACTGTATAAGTCACATTTGTACTGTATTAATATGATTCAACTGGTTGCCTATTTCTTACTTGTACCTTATAAGGATTACCCAAATGGCAGCCTATGTCCTACTTGTATGTAGTAAAGCTGAGCTGACCGAAGTGGCGGTCTATCTACTCCTTGTACTTGGTCATACTGACCCAACTTGTGTTTATAGGAGGGCCTGTGTTACTTGGCCATTGGACAGGGTTTACAAAGAAAACAAGTGATGTAGCAATAAGACTGAGAAATCTGTATTCTATTTCAGATCAACTCATCAACCCTACACATTGTCTGTATCATAGTCTTACTACCATCCATGTCCGTATACATTTTCTTATAGAATCCTGGCAGTTCACTTTCATTTTATTATAGGAAATTCCAGCATGTCTGTACAATGTCATTGGATATTATATACTGGTACAATGCCTAAGTGATGATATGTTTTGTACAAATGATATAATCATAAAGTTTTTGGTGAGATTTATTAGGTTATATAGTTGTAGTGATGGTTAGGTTCGTAAGTTGTAGTGATGGTTAGGTTTGTTAGTTGTAGTGATGGTTAGGTTCGTTAGTTGTAGTGATGGTTAGGTTTGTTAGTTGTAGTGATGGTTAGGTTTGTTAGTTGTAGTGATGGTTAGGTTCGTTAGTTGTAGTGATGCTAAGGTTTGTTAGTTGTAGTGATGGTAAGGTTTGTTAGTTGTAGTGATGGTTAGGTTTGTTAGTTGTAGTGATGGTTAGGTTTGTTAGTTGTAGTGATGGTTAGGTTTGTTAGTTGTAGTGATGGTTAGGTTTGTTAGTTGTAGTGATGGTTAGGTTTGTTAGTTGTAGTGATGGTTAAGGTAAGTTAGTTGTAGTAATGGTTAAGGTAAGTTAGTTGTAGTGATGGTTAAGGTTCTTAGTTATAGTTAGGTAGGTTAATTGTAATGATGGATAAGGTGGGCTAGCTGTTATGATGGTCACAGATGCTTAGCTTTCAGTTTTGAGTAAATGTTATTTAATTGGTGTTATGGATAGAGGGTGATTTGTTGTAGTTAAGATTGGTTAGTATGGTTTAAATTGTAGTTATGATTTTGGGCTGTGAGTTGTAAGTTATTTTGAAGGAATGTTAAGAGTATTATTTTGGGTGGTGAGTTGTAAGTTATTGTTAAAGAATGTTAACAGTATAGTACTGTGTGAGTGGAACCATTCCAGTTTCTGTAATGATCTATTGTCTGTGACAGAGGAGAGAATGTCAGTTCAGCAAAGCATTGATTTTGCTCAAAGGAAGTAAATCTTAATTGGCTGCTGATTAACATCATCTCTGTGAAACCCTGCTCATGTATAATCTGCAGTTGATCCACTTACTTAGTGCTAGCTTGGCTTATTTTGCTTTCAATGAGTTTTTAATAGTATACATTGGTTTACAAAGAATGGCCGTCAAATTCTACCTTATTCTGATTCTGAACATTTTTTAACAGTATGGCGTGCCTAAGTATGTTCAATATATTGCTATTATCGAGACAATCAAGTTCCTGATCTATCATAAAATTTCCTACTTTCATGGCAGCAAGCAAATAAGCATCAAACAGAGAGTGCAATTTAGCCTCCACATCAGTGTCAATTCATCAAGTTCAAGAGTTAGTAACAAGTTACTAGATACAAAATTTATATGTAAGATTTCAATGGAGATCTTCAGTCATTAAGTATACTTGATTGGCTGTGTACTGATAGGGATTGAACAATGTTTAATACACTAAGCAATCATATTGAAGTGTTGCTCATACACAAATGTCGGTTTAGATGACTACTGTTTGTACATACTGGTTTATTATAAGATCATTAATAACAGACTTGCTGGTGTATACTTAATGATTACTTTATTTACTACAGCAGTGTAGTTAGTTGGCTACATGAAAATATTGAAGAAATGAAGTTTTCCTCTCCAGCTTGTATAATGATGACAAGCATATCAAACTGACATGAGTAAACATAGCACCCTGTATGGGATTTGGTTCACCACACTGTCAACAATTTATGGTTGAGCTCTGTGGAACAATCCATTTAGTAATTGAATCATAGACCATAACCATTGATCATTTGATTCCCATACTCTACAAGCATCTGTCTAGCTAATTGATGGCTGAATCTGGGTCTCAGGAAAGCTTTATGGTGATGGGTGTAGTAAGTGGTGGGATATAGAGCATGCTGAACTGTAAGATCTTTGATCCGACCTAAACCATGGTGGTCAAGTTTGTCACTTCATAGGTGAAATATATTTAATCACATTGTTACGTTCAACAAATCAACACAATGGTGAAATTATACATCTGAAATAATTGCCATATATAACAACAACTTACAGACACTGCTATTACAATTGATACAGTGGTATTTTAGTGTAAAAAGTGATGAAAAAAAAGTTACTCCTAATATAGGTATGTTTAAAGCAAGTCACAAGCCAGGCCACTTGAGTGTCAATGTTAGAATACCAAAGGATTATGGAAAGCACTTACATGTACCGTGTATATGTCTTTCTCTTCTTCATTCCACTCTATCCCTCCCCTACACTCATTAATTAATCAGTTAAAAAAACCTAAAAAACAATAACAACAAACAACAACAAACATTATAAAATTAATTAATATTTAATCACTATGAACAATATCATATGATTGATCTGTTTAGTTTTCAAGCATGCAAACATCACATTACTTATTACAGCCTTAAGGAATAAATAATTACCGAAGCAGATGTTTTACATTGATTTGTGTTTTATTTATTGTGGCAATTTACTGATAAGTTACTGAAAAAAGTTTCCTTTTCTTTGTAGGATGATACAGTATGTCTCAGCTGTGTAACATCCTCGCGGGAGAGTAGTACAACTGAGCGAGTTTGTCTAGCAGCAGAAGGCTTTGGAAACCGAACCTGTTTCCTTGAAAATGTATCAAGCAAGGTAAGATTAAAAAAATAATTTTCTCACATGGTATTTAGTCTAAAATATTGTCTTATCCAGTCAGAGTGATGTTTGCAATTGATTACCATGAAAGTTGTCTCCCTTGTTGAAACATACCTTTAGATGATGTACTTTTAAGGTTTTATCCTTTTTGTTAATCGTAATGACCTTATTTTACTCTTGACAAACTGTTAAAACGATACTGGTAGTAATACTCTTGTGATTTGAAATTTTATTAAACAATGGCTTCATTCGTAAGCTTTGTTGGTTTATGCATTATGGAAGGATATAGTGCTTGATGGTGGAATAGCAGATACGCTGTTCAGAGAGATGGTAGGAGGATGAAAGTGTTGGATGGTGAGATAGTGAAAGACTATCTGTTCATAAGTGCAGAGTTTTACTTGAAAATTTACTAGTAGAATACATGTACTTTGATTCTTGTAATCATAGTCACTTATTTTGTATATGATTTATGATGAACAAGTAGGACAGATATGAGGCTTCTCTCTATCTGAATATCACACATGTTGTAGATAGAAATACCAGAGTGTAAATGTCTGTTGTATTGTCAATCTCACCCACATAGAGTACAGTACACCTCACTAAAGCTTGGATTCAGGGGAACCTTAGTGTTGAAATAAACATCAAGGGCATCAAGGCTATCTGCTACCTTATACATTACATACATAATTTGTGTTGGTTTACTAGTACCTCCCTTACCCAATTTAATTGTATTTTGTGGTACACATCACTTTCTCACACACTTACTTCAGACTTAAGTTATTTCCCTTCAACAATATACTTCTTAATTGCAAAAAGCAGTCTCCCTCATATATTAAACAAATGATTTAAGTTAGATTGACCTGTCTAACATGATCAAATTGTAATCTGTGTTATGTTTATCTCCTTAACACTTGATAGCTGTAATCTGTGTAAGAGTTATTTCCCCTAGTAATATCCCTTAATATTGGTGAGAGTAATCACCCTTGATGTAAAATGCTTATTTGAGATCTTAGTGGTGTAGTTACTGGCATATGCATGTCCTGTTTCAGTGTGAGTTTGTTTTGTAAGTCCTTAATAATATGTAAAATATTTTGTTGTATTGATGAGTGGTTGTTTCAGTAAGTTGGTAGGTATTGCGCATTGCAAACCATCTAGACAGGTTTTTTAACTGACAGTATAATGTGACAGACATAGACAGCAAACATGATTGGCCAGGAATAAGAATACTTGGGGAAATTAGAGTCAACTAGACTAGAAAGAACTGTGGCTTATTGTCTTGTTCTTTTCATTTACTTTCTACTCAAGTGATACTTGTGTTTCTATGACAACAACTCCCAAGATCTACTTGTACCGGAATCTGGTTCTTCTCTCTAGTCAAAATATATACCTAGATATTTACTATTTGCCACTGGCCAAAGAACATAAAAAGTCTATTCACTCAGTGATAAATATTCAGTGACATGCAACTGACCACTTTACAAAATATAAAATCTTAATTGCAATTAGGATAGTAAAGATTATGGTAGGTTCCTAGCTATCAAGCATGCTGTAATGCCTGGAGAGGGTTTCACAAGCAAATATTGACTTAATTTGCACTCTTTTTGTAACAGAAAATAAACATAAGGAAATGTATCACACCAGAAAAATCATCTGGGAACGGTGATGATAATTTTCTATGGATAAAATTATAATACCAACCCTCTATCTACAACATACTGAAAAAAATCTGACCCCATACCAAATTTCCCAACATAGAACTCTGCTCAAAGCCATCACACAGACCTCAAACAATAATCAGCTGGTTTTTTTTACAGTGGAGTCAAGTGAATCAGGTCATTGTTAATTCCTAGATTATTGTTCCACTTACAACTTTCCTATTTTGTAGCCATTATTTCAGTACAATAGTTCCTAAGATGTGTGGGACTGTGAGTTAAATGTTTGCAGGTGTTGTACAGTAAGAATCACCAGTACTTGGTGTTATGTTTTCGGTGTTGTCTCATCCTATAGGCATTGTTGGCACATAGTTGTCATCAAAGGAATCTCGGCTGTTAGAATGCCACGTTGCCCTACCATTCCTCACTACTCCATTTATATCCAATCAAATATTGCCACATAATCCATTCTGTTTGATTCAGCCAATCAAATTTTGCCATCCTTGATGTTCCACTATATCCAATCAAATCATACTACACCGATCCTAGGAAGTGAGGTCATTTGAGGTGAGAGCTGACCAGATTGGCCATGCCAAGCTAATAAGTTGGCCATATGTTATTAATTATGGTCTATTTTTGCAAGTTAGTAGAGTATATTGCCATGATGTTAGGAATATTCTGTGATAAATGACACGCAAACTTTATAGCTGACTTCACTGTCAGTAGGCAAGTATGGGAACATCTAGTCAAATTATCTTTGATTGCTGTTCCTTATTATGGCCGACCATACCCCTAGGGGAGGTAACTCCATTGTATTAAAGCTTGATTCCTTTGAACAATTAGTGATATAAGTGAATATTGAACAATTTGACTTACAACATTGTTTTCACTCAATTGTGTATGATTTTAAGACAGGAAGGAATTTTATGTGGTCAATCTAGCTCTTTAAGCTCAAGTGCATTTAGTTTCACTATAATGTTTGAGAACAACAAACACAACACTGTTTATGCCTGGTATATGCATCCGTTTTGAGATTAATGTTTGATTGGTGTCAAATATTTATTGATTTAATCATTTTCTGTCTGCACATTATAAATATGTATCAGGAACATCCTGTAAAATGATTCAGGCAGGAAACTATTGTGCAGGATACATGCTGTACAATGAGGATACATGCTGCACAATGTAGATAGAATTGTATTTCATTAGATTTTTTTGTATGTCTACAGATATATCAAACAAGTAGAAATAATTTCATTCAATGTAGCTAATTTAGAGGTTTTTTGAGCAATGAAATTGATCTCAGATAACTAAATAAACAAATAACATGGGAAAATTGTGTATATTTGTACAATTAACTCATCAATTATCTTGAAATCAGTTTATTCATCTGTGAAGCTATTGTGCTTTGTCTGTCATTGTCCGCCGTTTGCCATCAGTGATGCGTAAACTTTGGACATTTTTAAACTTCTTCTCAAGTTCCACCTGTGGGAATGAGCCCAGACTTGCCTGAAGTGATTCGGAGATGGTCCTGATTAAGTGTTGTAATTTTTCAGGTATGTCTAAATTAAAAAATGGCCACCATCTTGAAAAACATATTTTAGACTTCCTCTCCAGTTCCACTGGTGCCATTGAGCTAAAAATTGGTAGGGATGTTAAAAAAAGGTAGCCAACAAAGTGTTGTTATTTTTCAACCTTGTCAAAACTTTGACACAGCAGCCAGGGAGGCCATTTTGTAACACGATACGCAATCATGGTTTTCTTGTGCAGCACCTATTTCAAACTTCTTCTCAAGTTTCACCAGTTGGATTGAGCTCCAACTTTATAGTAAAAAAATAGGTAACACTTGTTACAGTCACATACTCCTGGCCAAAACTACTATTTGCTTTATGGAAAACAGCATCTTAGTAAGATTTCATTCAAAGTAGAAAAAATAACCCTTCTCCCGACTGAAAGTTTTTGTAGTCAGATGACTGTTAAGGCCTGGTGGCATGGAAATTCCTATGACATTCATGAGAGTATGATTCCATTAATTACAGTTTGACCTCTAGACTTTGATAGCAGTACAACCACATGGCATTCAGAACAGTCTGACTGCTTGACATTCATAGCAGTATGATCACTTGGCATTCATGATAGTAGGAACACTAGACAAATATGGCAGTATGACTGCTAGATATTCATGAGAGTATGAGCACTAGACACTGATGGCAGTATGACCACTTGGCATTCATGATAGTATGAACACTAGACAACTATGGCAGTATGACTGCTAGATATTCATGAGAGTATGGGCACTAGAAACTGATGGCAGTATGACCACTTGGCATTCATGATAGTATGAACACTAGACAACTATGGCAGTATGACTGCTAGATATTCATGAGAGTATGAGCACTAGACACTGATGGCAGTATGACCACTTGGCATTCATGATAGTATGAACACTAGACAACTATGGCAGTATGACTGCTAGATATTCATGAGAGTATAAGCACTAGAAACTGATGGCAGTATGACCACTTGGCATTCATGATAGTATGAATACTAGACAACTTTGGCAGTATGACTGCTAGATATTCATGAGAGTATAAGCACTAGACACTGATGGCAATATGACCACTTGGCATTCATGATAGTATGAACACTAGACAACTATGGCAGTATGACTGCTAGATATTCATGAGAGTATGGGCACAAGACACTGATGGCAGTATGACCACTTGCCAATTACAGTAGCATGATCTCTTTGCATTTGATATTGGCACTTGGGAAATATTGACAATTTTCACGAGCATTGCTGTAACCTCCAGAAAGCTCCAATATTAGTTCTTTCCTGAAATGGGAGTATGTAATGCAGGGAAATAAAGGCTGCAAGGTATCTAGAGAGAATATCACTTTAGCTTGATCCATTTAGGGTAGGACTAGTTAGCAAGAGGTTCTGAGTTCGATTCCTTGTGGAGGCATTGATATAAAAAATGACTTCTGTTCCAAATATATCATGACAGTTGGGCCTTTACTTCTCACAATAAGAAGCAATATCAACATTAATGTTATCAGGATGAAATACTGAATCTATTAAGAAGATATATAGGATGTGTATATTGTATGTAATGCTGCCATTTTGGAGCAGACAAGCTCCAGTACACAATGATTTGGCCATATTGTTTGTGTGTATAGAAAACACATGGAACAGCCTTCCCCAAGGACGCTACAAGCAAGGCCTATGTCTGAATAGTCATCATATGCAGAAAACTATAACTAGGTCTAAGATCACCTGATATAAACATATTTCATATATTTATAGTGGAAAATATTGCCATCTGTTCAGGAAGATTTATGGAAGGGAAAAATAGTATCTTTTTTAAAAAATTCTAATATAGAACTCTTAGGGAAATGGACTTGACTAATTGCTGATAGCCACATAAACAGGGTAATTTATTAAACAATCTGCAACTTTTAGGGTAAACAGATTAATATTTGAGATGAATAATAACATTTAGGATTAATAGGGTTATTTGTAAGACAATCTGTAACATTTAGGGTAAATAGGGTTATTTGTAAGACAATCTGTAACATTTAGGGTAAACAGAGTAATTTGTAAGACAATCTGTAACATTTAGGGTAAACAGGGTAATATTTTAGATGACCTGTAATAATTAGGGTAAATAGGGTAATATGTTAGAATACTATTAACATTTAGGGTAAACAGAGTAATTTGTAAGACAATCTGTAACATTTAGGGTAAACAGGGTAATATTTTAGATGACCTGTAATAATTAGGGTAAATAGGGTAATATGTTAGAATACTATTAACATTTAGGGTAAACAGAGTAATTTGTAAGACAATCCGTAACATTTAGGGTAAACAGGGTAATATTTTAGATGACCTGTAATAATTAGGGTAAATAGGGTAATATGTTAGAATACTATTAACATTTAGGGTAAACAGAGTAATTTGTAAGACAGTCTGTAATGTTTAGGGTTGACAGGGTAATATTTTAGATGACCTGTAATAATTAGGGTAAATAGGGTAATATGTTAGAATACTATTAACATTTAGGGTAAACAGAGTAATTTGTAAGACAATCTGTAATGTTTAGGGTAAACAGGGTAATATTTTAGATGACCTGTAATAATTAGGGTAAATAGGGTAATATGTTAGAATACTATTAACATTTAGGGTAAACAGAGTAATTTGTAAGACAATCTGTAATGTTTAGGGTAGACAGCGTAATATTTTAGATGACCTGTAATAATTAGGGTATATAGGGTAATATGTTAGAATGCTTGTAACATTTAGGGTAAACAGAGTAATTTGTAAGACAATCTGTAATGTTTAGGGTAAACAGGGTAATATTTTAGATGACCTGTAATAATTAGGGTAAATAGGGTAATATGTTAGAGGATCTGTTATAATTAGGATAAATAGGGTAAGATGTTAGAGGTTGGGTAACATTGATAAGCTTGTCTTAAGAAAGAACACTGAAGAAGGCATGTGATTAACAGCTACTGCTGATATATTGGTGAGCATGTGTAACTATGTTGTTGGCTTTCTGCCATTTTGTCCTGCATAATACAGCAACCAGGTGCAGCTTTTTGTATTGTCACTGAATGGTGTGATGATATATACATAACTGTTCTACTGAATTTAGGAATATTGATTAAGATATCAAAAATACATGTTGGTTGTTGATGTAAGAAATAAATGACACTACTCATAGGGAACTAAGTTTGAGGCCAACATGTTAATGATGTTTGATCACTGATAGAGACTACAGGTCACAGGTCAGTGGTACCGAAAACATGTTAGTGATACAGGCCACTGGTCAGTGGTACCGATAACATGTTAGTGGTACAGGCCACTGGTCAGTGGTACTGAAAACATATTAGTGGTACAGGCCACTGGTCAGTGTTACCAAAAACATGTTAGTGGTACAGGTCACTGGTCAGTGGTACCAAAAACATGTTAGTGGTACAGGCCACTGGTCAGTGGTACCAAAAACATGTTAGTGGTACAGGCCACTGGTCAGTGGTACCGAAAACATGTTAGTGTTACAGGTCACAGGTCAATGGTAAAGATATCCTGTTAGTCGTACAGGTCACAGATTAGTGGTAAAGATATCCTGTTAGTCGTACAGGTCACTGGTCAGTGGTAAAGATAACCTATTGGTTATATAGGTCAGTAGTTGGTTAATACAAGTTGAAATTTGAAGGTCTAGAAATGCTATGCAGTTGCACTGACATAAACTGATAACTACTGGAGAGAGATAGTTCTGTTGTTTATTTTATGCATAGAATTCTCCATGGAAAAAAATACCAAGTACAAATGGCATTATCATTATATACTCTATTGATGTGTTCTGTTAAAGTCCATGGCCAGCAGCCCAAATCTCTGTGTTGTATCATGACTGTAAATATACAGATGTCAAAACTATTTACATGTGTGATGGATTTGATGTTTTACAATAGTCTGATCACCGAATTCTGTATTGGCAAACATTCTCTACCAATACTTAACCATGTAACAGAATTATTCTGAAGGGTAGATAGAAGTTATTGGGGCTGAACATGCTAAAGAGTGAAATGATAAATAGGTTCTCTTGTTTTTTCGTTTTCTTTTGATGATGTTTTAAATGAAATCATCTTTTTTTGGTTTGTTATTTATGTTTTAGCAAGGGGAACAAGCAAATTTGAAATTTGGGAAAAAGTAAATGGATTGAAAAAAATATACAAATAATTAACCTGCTTGATTTTCTTACTGACATTGATAGACAAAATGAAACATTAAAGGCACAGAAGATAGGATAATAGTGGATTGAACAGTGACTACCATTGTCTCATTTGGCTGTTCTACTAACAGGGTTGAAGGAAAATTCACTATAGTGTAAAGAAAATCATTGAAATTATACACACAACAAAAACTTTCTAACATATAAGATATATTGTATCTCATTTAAGATAACTTCATAAGTTCCTGTTTCATATATCTAGCTAACAAATTGTTTTAGTCTAGCCTTATTGTCCTTATGATGAATGTATGATTCTGTGTTATTTTTTCATGTCATAATCAAGAATACAAGATGTGTTTTCTTTTAATATTTTATTCTTTTCTTTTGTAGGACACCCCACCAGACATATCAGTATGTGCATTTGTACTGGAGCAAGCTCTTTCGGTCAGAGCTCTGCAGGAAATGGTTGGCTCATCATCCCAGGATTCCACCGTAAGTCAAATGATGAAATTTACATTTTAATTGTTTGTGCAGTTTCAGTCCTGTGTGTAAACATTAAAGGTATTAAATAGCATTAAAGGAATCATAGTGCGCAACAATACTATGAAGCCATTTTAAAATCATGAGACATAAGTTGATAAACTATTCAGAATTTGTCACGTAACTTCCCTGTTATCATTGTATCAACACCCAGTACATCAATATACATCATGTAATAAGTAAATTGAATCATTTCTCTCTATCTGATTTTAAAACAGAAGAGTGTTCCCTCTTAAGTTATTTTTTATTAATTGATGGTTACTCTAAATCCGTAAATTTATGGCCATGAAAGGATAAACAGACAAACGTTGGCATGGATTACAGTACTAGAGGGTTTTTTTTAGCAAAGTTTATCCACAACATCAAGAATGAACAAAAATGCATCATTTTTGGAAACCACGAAAAATATATGAATTTACAGTATATAAACTGTGATACCATTGTAAAAAAACAATATCATCCTTAGTGATATTATCAAAGAGATGCACACTATGATTTTGTCAGCATCCATCTTACAGGCTGTCTGTCTTGTCACATTCTTGATTGTAAGAATATTGATGGTCACCATGTTGTAAAATACAATTCATTTAAGAACATCAGATTCTGGAAAGATTTATTGAAGGGATCTTAAAACTATTGTAACATTTGTGATAATGAACACCTCTTCATGTCTGTACCATTTCTGATGTAACTTCCCACCTCAGCATCCATTAGTACAAGTGGATTTCCTTATTTCATTCACTCACAACATGCAGAAAATAGGTGGCACTCTTTCAGATATTGACCATGTTTCGAAATTTAATTTTGTATCAGACATTCAGTTTTGATATAGTGGATGTATAGAATTTTATAACTGAATCTTTTTTATTGCATGTTTCCAATGCAAACTGGTTTCAAGGGACAATAATACATGAGATGATTGCCAAGAACTGGTTGCTACTTGTTGGTGCTTCAAGGTCAAGCTTTTACCCTTACAGACTAACATTTATGACTGTATTATTCTCCAGGATAGAATATTTTCAAGTCTTCTTGTATGACAATTGCGTTGGTTCATTTTCCCATAAACAGCGAGGGTCATTTTGAGGTGGGGTCTCCTAGTAGTGGTCAGAAACTACCCTACTGAACAACATACAGGAGGCCCATTACAAATAATCCATGGCAAATAGGGTTAAAGGTCAAGCATAAGGACATAATCAAATCAGTGCACACCAATCCATTTCTCAGTTTCTTGAGAAAAACAATCTGCCATGGGTAGGGAGAATTGAACCACACATCTCACATCTTCACCTGAGATTACGCAAGCCAATGCGCTGCTGACTGAGCTATGGCAAATATACATATGATTCAAGTTACAAGTTGGTATATAACATTCACTGACCAGTATATATATAGATGATTCTCATGAAACACATCTCACTATTACTTTGTTAACATACAGATGTGTGTAAATACAGACACAATTTCTTTATCCTCACAGTCAGCAACACATTATTTAGAAGCTGTTTTACGAGTAACATTGGAGAGGTTAGAACAATAAATAATTGCAATTTCTTCTGTCCTTAATCAATACAGCCTATACACATGAGGTAACAGTTTTATATAATCTTCATGACGAAAATTGCTGTTGTTATATCCTATTCTTACTTTTTAACCCTGATAAGAGATATGCCCTACTTGTTGTATTGATATTCACAGAATAACGATGTATTGACCTATACAAGGCTAAATTCAACCTTTTCTGGGTGGCAGACAATGTTGTGAGAGTGTTAGGTTGGTGACAAGGACGAAGGAACTCTGTTGAAGAGGGTAGTGTTAGAATATCCCCCAGAGTCCTGGTTTGGATGGTGTCACAGTGGTTTTCAATGTGGAAGATGTTTCAGATCAGGTTTATAGCTTTGTACTGTGTCATGTTACCCTCATCACAATATATATATTCCATCATACTTTATTCCCAATGTGTAGCTTTGCAGGGAATTATTTCAGTTTTATAGTTAAAATATCTGATCCATTGGTAAGAAAATACTTCAATAAAATTGTTTTGTTCTTTATTTTAAAAAACTGCTGTTTCAGAGATTTCTATCACGAACGTTTATTGATAAATTGTTATTTTACTATCATGGTAGCTGGGATGACTTAATAGGATTTACCACTGTTATCCACATAAAACCTCTGCAAGCCTCATAGATAAAACCAGATTTTCCTGGGTCCAAATGACAATCAAAGTAGTAAGTCCACGTGATATTGCTACCCTTAATGGTATTTATTAGCCTCTCTCTGTCCATGACCTTAGAGACATGTCCCTCTATGAGCTATCCGAGACTTTTTTGAGATGTATGTCTGTCTGTAAGCTCTATTGATCTCCCTAATAGTAGTATGTTAGGCTTCAGTCTTGAGTCAATCCTATTGTCTGTGGATTTGATTATTTTATATTGGTCACTGGACTAGACTTTTCATGTCAGGTATACAAAAGATCTTTTTAGGAGGATAACATATGGTGTACAAAAAGTTTGATCTATATAAGCAACTAAAATTAGAACTGGAGGTCATTAGCTTAACCTGTTTCTGTGTGATTGCATGTTAGGATCTAGGTATAAGTGTGGTCAAGATGTACTTGCTCAGTTGCTATAGTTACAAATGGCTTTCAATGATTGGGTAAAAATTAAAGAGAGAATTAAGCTTATCTATGTCATGTATAGATAGATACAGGACCTAACCAGTCAATAAATATTTAGCATTCGCTACACGTTGTATTACTCATTTTTCTTAATGATTCTTTAGGGGTGATTTTATTTGTCATTTTTCAATGCAATATGTACGAGATAACATGTTCTCATACATACACTTTCAGTGTTCTGATATATTTCCATTCTACTATCAGTTTTCTGTTTCGTTATATGTAGACTAGATAGGAGTATATTTGGTCAAGCATATGAATAATGCATTCAGGGGTCAAGGTGAGATGTACACCAAAAAGTAATTCTGGTGGATGTAAATGTAATACTGATATTCTGTGTTGCATTTATATATCATATATATCATTATTATCCTTAGTTGTAGTATATGAGACTGTACTTGGATTCACAGTGATTCAGTTGGGGTAAGAATAAATCTAGACGTCTCTGCAATAAACTGGCTGTCAGTCAGTTTTGGTATCAATATACTGACTGAAGTTGTTGGACTAAATAAAAGGCCTTCACAAAAAATAAGTAACTTTACAAATCTGTAAAATCATAACAGAACAAATTTATTAACAAACTTGTGATTTTGCCACCTAGTCATTATTATCACCATAACTTACAAGATGACCAAGTTTTTTTCAACTTTGCTTGCAAGACATCAATCTGACAGTCCAATCATACATGTAGAATCTGTTACACAAACAAAATGATGTCATTGATAGTGGAGACTTTCATTTATAATTCCATGGTCAATCTATTCTGAAAATCGCATCAATTCACTCCATGACATGGAAACGTAAATCATTCCTGCAGGAACACTAGATACATTGTTTCGTGAAATCTGACTGAGAGCCACATCACTTTTTATTGAAATATTAATGCGGAATAAACTGCTTTTATTTCAAAGGAACAAAATATTTTCAAAAAACGTTTTCATTAAACAAATTGCAATAGTTTACACTTTTACATCAATAATCAAGATAAATTTGTGACCATACTGTTTCGGTTGTTATTTATGAAGGCACAAGGAACTATTTTATTACCGGTGTTCATGAATTTGAGCTTGCTGTTGTTAGTGCTTAGTTTAGCAGAAAATTTACCTGACAAATTCCTGGTTTTTTTGTTTTGTTTTGTTTTTTATAGAAATTTGATAATAAAAATGTTAGAAATAAAATGTTAGCATGGGGTATACATTTAATATGATGCCAATGTGGATGGAAATTAGATAGAATTACACCATATTAACTGTAAACCTCATCTGGTAACAGTTAATTGTTTAAGTGTACACATCAATACTCTGATACATACACCATCAATATTCTGATACATACACCATCAATATTCTGATAATACACCATCAATATTCTGATACATACACCATCAATATTCTGATACATACACCATCAATATTCTGATACATATACTGTCAATATTCTGATACATACACCATCAATATTCTGATACATACACCATCAATATTCTGATACATACACCATCAATATTCTGATACATACACCATCAATATTCTGATACATACACCATCAATATTCTGATACATACACTGATACATACACCATCAATATTCTGATACATACACCATCAATATTCAGATACACATGCCATCAATATTCTGATACATACACCATCAATATTCTGATACATACACCATCAATATTCTGATACGTACACTGTCAATATTCTGATACATACACCATCAATATTCAGATACACATGCCATCAATATTCTGATACATACACCATCAATATTCTGATACATACACCATCAATATTCTGATACGTACACTGTCAATATTCTGATACGTACACTGTCAATATTCTGATACATACACCATCAATACTCTGATACGTACACCATCAATATTCTGATACATACACCATCAATACTCTGATACGTACACCATCAATATTCTGATACATACACCATCAATATTCTGATACATACACCATCAATATTCTGATACATACACCATCAATATTCTGATACATACACCATCAATATTCTGATACATACACCATCAATATTCTGATACATACACCATCAATATTCTGATACATACACCATCAATATTCTGATACATACACCATCAATATTCTGATACATACACCATCAATACTCTGATACGTACACCATCAATATTCTGATACATACACCATCAATATTCTGATACATACACCATCAATATTCTGATACATACACCATCAATATTCTGATACATACACCATCAATATTCTGATACATACACCGTCAATATT